AGCCAAGAGAGGGCCATGGTGTGGGCAAGGTACCGTTGTCTGGGGTCCAATCCTTGTTCTTCCATGAGGTCACTGTCACTCCAGCGGGCAGGGGCTCATCAATGCCTTCCCAGTAAACACCTCCATCACTGGTTTCTGCCACGTTGGTAAAGATGGTGTTCTTGAATATGGTTTTAATAGCATTGGGGTTTGTTTTGACTGAGGTTCCAGGGGCAACACCGAAAAAGCCATTTTCGGGATTGATTGCCCTTAAGTTGCCTGGAAGTTAAATGACAACATATAAGTAAATCATACTGATTTAATTCTATCCAGAAGTTTATAGCATGTCTTACTGCACCTACAGCAACCTGTAAAACATTCCAATTTAATTTCCATACCTTGTTCATCAAATTTCATCCAGGCAATATCATCACCCACACACTCAATTTTCCATCCTGGCAGGCTTGGGTTCATCATGGCCAAGTTGGTTTTTCCACATGCACTTGGGAATGCTGCAGCAAAGTACTTCTTTTTACCTTCTGGATTGGTAATTCCCAGGATCTATTGAAAAATTAATGCAGCTATTAAACACAGTCTTTTTTTTCCTTGCAATTTTCGTTTTGGAGATTGTCTCCCAGCAAGTAGAAATTATAAAATATTTAATTATGCACATTTGTTCCTACAGAAGAAGCACCACATAATATTGTTGACAAATAATTCAAGCTGTATTTTTTAAATCAAAGAGTCAACTCTTCTTGCCATTAGAATATCTGTAGGAATTCTTATATTTTTTTTAAAATGTTAGGTCTGTATGTAATAATTATTTATTTTATTTATTTTGTTGATTAAAGACCATATACATCTGTGTTTCTATGTTGAGACAGAAGAAAACCAGGCAATATTCTTTTGGCTGCACAAGTAGAGTGAAGGGAAAGCACTTTTTGCATAGATACTTCTGCTCTTCGCAAACAAATTTTTTTTTAATTTATCTTATGTACTTTGAAATACTTTTCAGTGGTATTTTATGGTGGTAGAATGTTTAAATGACAGGGGAAATTAAAGCCAGAAAGTTACACAGCAGAACTCCCTTAGAAAATATGATATTTGCAGGTTTTTGAGTGCACAGACCTCTTTATAATTTGGCTCAGTGATGATGTTCAGGCTCTGCTTATGTACATGGGTCTGCCTACAAGAAGTCCCTCTCAGAAGTTCAAATCTTTTATGCCATTACAGGTTCTATTTTAAATGTTTAGTACTTGGCCTCTCATGAGCCTGGCATGTGACAGATTTCCTATCTAAAGTTACAGGACTATCCATATGAGACTAATTTCATTGATGGCGAGACGGGTGATAGATTTATGTGGCCTTAATTTGGGGTTTAACGGCTGTTCAAGCACACAAGATTTAATAGCTCTTACCAGCATGTGCTCTGCGAGCCAGCCCTCCTCTTTGGCCAGTCTGCTGGCAATTCTGAGAGCAAAGCATTTCTTCCCCAGCAAGGAGTTTCCTCCGTAGCCGCTGCCAAACGAAATGATCTCCCTGCGATCCGGGAGATGAGCAATCAGCGTCAGCTCCGGGTTGCACGGCCAGTTGTTGATTAATGGCTCTGCAGAACAGAATGTTGTACATGAATGCAGCAATTTCCATGCTTGATCACGCTGCTGTTTCATCAGCATCGAGCCTCTGACAGCAACCCACACCAGATGCTTCAAGGAAATCCCTGGTAAGTACTAGGGATAATAATCTCCCTTCCATCAAACTCTCGTTGAGCTTTGATTCCTTTAGCTGAGTTTTGAACCTAGTGCTGTTACAGAACCACCCTGGTCTTCTGTGGTGAGGGTGTCCCCATGTGCTGAGGACATGCAGTCAGCTCCAAAACACAGCCCTGGGAATTTCCAGGGGTTTTTAAAAGCTCCTGGGGTTTTTAATGGCTCCTGGGGTTTTTTATGGCTCTTACCTTTTAGTGGCAGAGGGCATCCAACTGAGTGAAGGCATTTTACAAACTCTCCATTGCCCAGGGCTTTCAAAACATCTGTTCCCATCCGTGTCATGATCCTCATGCTGGCCACCACATAGGGCGAATCCGTCAGCTCGATCCCAATCTTGGACAAAGGTGACCCAATAGGCCCCATGCTGAAGGGGATGACGTACATTGTACGTCCTGGAAAACAGGGAGTAGCAAGATGTGGCCAAGAGCAAAACAAGGAACATATTGAAGTAACCTTTATTAACACAGAGGTTGTTTCTCCGTCCTTTAAAAGATGTCTTGTGAGAGCTTCTGATGTTTAAAGAGCTGTAGCTTTCTGTTTGTCTAATTGTGTAGCAAGAAGTTTTATCTTAAATGCTGAAAGCAGCAGTTCAGACAGATTGTCTAGCCAGGAATAACGGGGGTGAAGGCTGAGTTCTGTGTTAGTGTAAATCCCTAAATCTGAAATTATACCTGTGAATGGGGGGGTCCTTCATTCTCATCTCACTTCCTATCTGCTCCACAGTTACTGTGTGACTGAACCAAGTCCCACAGATTTTTGTACTTTGCCACTCTTTAGGGAAACAAGAGTTCTGGAAAGAGACTGAGGACTGTCCTTGCCCAGGTATTTGGGTCCATCGTAAAGACCTGCATTAAACCACTGAAGTTACTGTCGGGGGTATAAAGCTAAATCTTCAGCTCAATTTGTTCTTTAAAGATTACAGTAACTTGCAGCAGTAGCAAGTGTCTCAGCAATGCCAAAAGTTCAGCGTCAATCATCTTTTTCTTGCCTACCTTGCATGCAGCCTGGGAACCTGGTGTTGAAGGCTTTCTCAAAATCTTCCTCAGACATCCAGCGCCCCAGCTGGCTTGTTCCAGTTTTAGGCATGGGAGTGGTATCTCTCTGCTCTTGAGTGATGATGACAGTTTTGCTCTCAATTCTTGCCACATCTCTTGGATCAGTGAGAGCCAACCAGCTGCATTTCACCAAAAATCAAGAAATTAGACTTTAATTATCAATATAGCATTTTTACCCTTCTGTGGGACCGCTTTAGCATGATAGGCTGCTAAAACAATGCTTTGTAAGGCAGAAATTAGTGACAAAGCAGTATAACAGATAATCTCAAAAATCAGTCAGATGCATTCTCTCATACAAATTGTTTTAAGACTTTCCAGTAATAACAACAAATTATATGGCCTAGGAAATACTTGTTACATGTTAATACTCCTTTGCTTCTTATCTCAGCCTTATTCTCTGTTGCTAACTTTCAGGAAGAAGTTAATCTTGTTTAATTCTTATTCTCATCAGTGTGGAGTTGTTCTGTATGGGGACCACAAAATGATGCCTCAAGCTAAGTGGATGCCAAGGAAAGTAGTTTAAGTGTTGGTATAAGTGCCAGAGGGATCAGAACCCAGCTTAGTGGATTGGCATAGTCCCTTAAGTTAGAGGCATCACAAAGGAAATACTGAGTATAAGCACGATCATTAAAAGTGAAGGAGTTTATTAAAGGGGATTCTTTTTCCCCTCTAAGGAATTTTTGCCATCTATTTACAATAGAGGCGATTGTTTTACATTTTCACCTCTGTGTATCGAAATTTTCCACGAGTATAAAAATGTTCTAGTTGGGCTGTCATAACCATCATCACTACAGCTAAGCATATAATTAACAATGAATAATTTATCTGGTGAATCTTGCCCTTTTCTCTCCCAAATAGTCTGCAAACAGATTGCCAAATTCCTGCACTTAGTTATTCAGAAGTCTTTGCAGATTTCTCCCATGAAGATCTCGTGGTTGGCACATAATTCTCGAGTATGCACTTGTTGTTAATATTCTCCTTTCATGTTCAGTTAGTTGGGAGAAATGATGAAATATTTGAAAAAAGTATTTGCAGAATACATTAGAGTCAAAGCTCATCGGCACGATATGAATAATGCCTGTACTGAATAATATTTGAACACCCACAGACCTATTTGAATGCCACAAAAAAGTGTGTGATGAATAAACTAATTGGCTAAAATAGTAGAATTCTTCAGAAGAAGATTTGCTCAATAATATTTTGCCACTGCTAATGATAAGTTGCATAAGTCTCATGACATTTTTTCAGTTCCCTGATGTAACTAATCAATAGAGAAAGTGTACAGTTGATAGTCCAATTGAATAATATGCTTTATGTTAATTTTTAGAGGAAAAAGTTTGCTTTTCCTGAGTATTTCACCTATGTAAGCTAAAGTTCCAAAATGTTCATGGGAAGCAAATATTGGAGAATTATAAGAAGTTTTTAAAGTAAGCAGGATAGAAAATGAATTTTCCAGTTCTGAGCTGATACTTGACTTCATTTAGGCTACTCACCAGTTCTCATACTTGTTCAGCTTCTTGATCATGCCTTGTTCTACCATGATGTCCAGGATTTTTTTGTTCTCTTCTTCCGAGCCATCGCAGATGTGGATGCACTCAGGCTGGCACAGCTTGGCATTGGTTTCGATGAAATCCCTCGCTTCCGGAGACAGACTCTCCAAATCCCCCTGGACAACCTTGGGCATGACGTTCATCTCGGCTTTCAACTGTGGAGGCATTATTGAAGCTGTTGTGGATCTTGTTGATGGCTGTAAAATACTGATCACAATCTAAAATCAAATAGATTAGGTGTGTTAGCATACTTTACGTTCTAACCAGTGTCACAAAGCCTAACAACATATAGCAGAAAGAATTTGCAATGGACTTGATTATGGACTGCTTTAAAATCAAGGTAGGGAATTTGGACCACTGCTAATTTCAAGGTGGAAAAAATAGAATTAATTCTACTAATTTAAGGTGGAAAAAATAGAGGTAATTCTACTTACTGTCTATGCAAGGTGGAGCTGGATGCCAGAGAGGATTTTGCTGTGCCTTTCAGTTGAGCCCGTTTCACTTGCCTTGGAGCTCTCTTGCAATTGCTGCTTTCCAAGGATGCACCTCCTTCCTTAAATATTCTTTGTGGTAGTGTCCATCCCACCAGTTGAGGTGAGAAAGGCTTGTCCTTTACATCACCACTGGATGTGTCTTGGGACGGTGCCACTGACATTGTCATCATGCAAAGTTGTCAACAAAGCAGCCCTGGCGGGCTAATCATTTAACAGCATTGATTAATGAATGCTGAAAGCGGAGGTTCTTAGCCCACGGGTTTGCTGGTTTGAAGCAGTTACAAAATTTAGCAGTTTAACCAAACTTTGATCCAATTTGGCTTTGAAATCAAAAACGTCATAACTCCTCGGCGTGTGGGAAAGGTTGAGTACAAAGAGTCTCTGGAACCAGGAACGCGGAGGTCGAGCACAGAGGCAAAGGGCAGTTGGCACATTTTGTAGGCAGATGGTCACTAGTTGGCTGTGAAGTGGAGGCTCGTCCAAGGAGTGTTTACTCACCTTGGGAACATTGCCTGATCTGGGTATAAAGTTCAACAGTGAGCACTGACAGGCCTGAATAACCGCTACATACACAAGGCCCACGGCTCTTATTTTTGTCGATGCAATTTGAAAAAAATCCCAAGAGATATAAATCTAAGTGTTGGGGCTCCTTCAGTGTAGGCAAGGAAGCTCTTGCTTATGGCTTGTTTTAGGCTCTTGCAAACTAAACATTATTATTTTCTATTGCTGCAGCCTCAGAAGAAGCAGAGTGGCAACTTCTCAATAATTAACCTCCTCTTTCAAATATTATGTTTTATTTTAGCAGGAGTTCTGTGTGGGGGAGGTATCATAAAATATTAACCCATCCCTAAATTAGTACTCACAGCAAAAGCACAGAGCAGCTCAGGACTGGGGCTGCACACGGTTGCTCTGTGGGTGAAAAGCACCGTGTGCATGTGCACAAACATAGACTTGAGTCTGTATCTGTGTCAGTTGTGGCAGTATCTGATATCAACAGCCACAATTACTCATAATTCTGAGGGTTATCTCCGTGTGATAACAGACACTTGAGTGAGATCTCAGACACTTTGAGCTCATCTCTGTTTCTGCAGGCCTGTCTTTAGCTTCCCCTATTCCATTTTAGACCACTGTGACCATAAAGAAAGGTGGTCTTGTCTATTTGTTCGTGCAGTCTGGGTGCGTGAAGACTGAAGTATTCAGACAAATAGAACTGTAGAAATAACCCTGTTTCCATTTCCTCTCACTCTATTTATACCCAGTCTTTGCAAAGCATCCGAAGCCTGGATGAGGTGATGCTTTTGTGCCAACTTGTGACTTTTTTGTCTTGGTGTGGCTTTTCCCATGGTTGTCATTGGTAGTTTGCAGAAAAGGAAATTTGGGATTTCCAGCTGAGTTTCAGGGAGTTCTAGAAAGTAACAAAATGGACTTATCTTGTATAAAGGGTATTCACAACCCAGCTGTTGTTCATGTTTGTGAGGCAGTTGGATGTTCCCAGCAAGGTTCTTGCTGGGGCAGCCAGCAGTGACTTACAAACCCCAAAAAGCCAGGATGGCAGAGCAGCAGGGATCAGGATTGCAGCTCACTCCCCACCCTGCAAGTCTAAAATACTGCAGAGCTGACTCTCCCTCTGCAGGAACACCCTGTGGGACTGTACCCTCTATCTCCCCTGCAAAGCCTTTTATTATGTTTTGTAAATAAGGGAAGAAAACAGTGAGGTAAGAGGGGCTGTCCTTGATGCATGGCAAGGCCAAACATTCCTGAAAAGGAAAACAAAAATCTGGTGGGATAAGAGGTGCTAAAGACTGCTCCAGATAGGGCTGTGATGTAAGCAAAGATAAAACCCAAAACCAATTTAATAATAACAAAGCTGGTGTTTGTCTTCAGAGTCCACATACTGTGCTGCTGGTGGAGTTGATCAGAAATATTTTCCTTTTAAAACACATCATAAAGTACCTTCATTAAAAATAAAATGGAACATAATCTTTAGTAATACTAAGCAGAGCCATTTTTTAGCGAAGTACAAAAATACTGAGTGCTTTTTGCTGGCGAGGTAAGTCAGTGTACATAGAAATAACTGAGAGTAAGCCAGCAATGCTCAGTTGTCAGAAGACAACACACCAGGAAATGATCATATTTCAGCATAAGTAAAATCAGAATAAAAGTTTACCTACAACAGTGTAATACAGCAGAATCATTCCTAGTGTTTCTAGGTTTTGAGAGGAGGAAAAAAAAATCCCAAACCCAGAGCATTAATTTCTGCCAATTAAATTACAGTCAGGCAGGTGTTGTGCAAATTTTCTAACACTGCAATCCTAACCTCCCACAATCTTGCTATACAAACTGTGGGCTTCTCTTGAGAAGACACTAAATATGCCAAATTGGTGGCACTGTGTTATGAACATATGTCCATTAAAAATCACATTAAGGATTCCAAATGTTTTTCATTTGTGATGGCAGCAAGGCTCGAGTACAGATGTCCACTGGGAATTCTAGACACTTCAGCATCAAATTACTTGTATTTAGGTAACACCTCCCATCAGAGGATCTCAAAGCATATCACAAACACACAGTAAGCCTCGAGCCCCTATATAAAACACACATAGTATTTGGTGCAATGAAATAACTGGAGCATATGCAAATCAAGGCCAGGATTTTTTTCAAGAATCTTCTCATTTAGAGATTCAGCTTTTAGACAGCCAACAGAAGGCATTAAAGGTTTTATGTGAAGATAGTGAATTCTCATAACACCCACTGTCTCCCACTCAAAAACCCAGATGTAACACTTCCAATGGCTCAGTTACAGTGGTCCTGAGGTCTTCACCCAGTACCAGCAGGTGCTGCTGTCTGGATTTGGTTTCTGGAAGATTCCACGAATGGCAAACATGGGAGGTGGTATGGGGAAATGTAAGGCCTTCAAAAAAAGGGTTGTCTTGAATGTAAAGTTTATTTTCCATTTAAATGAGAAGACTTTTTTAGTAGTAACTGCATTATAATGCTCATCTAATAGCTGATACGATTTCTTCTGATTGAACTTTTTTTGGCACTTTTTCTCTGTGCTTCTTGACACTTGAATGTGATGCTTATCAGGTGCCTTCTTGGAAGCTGTCAAATCATTTAAATGTGTGTGAATCTGACATTTCAAGATGATAGCATTCAACAAGTGCCTTGAAAGGAGGGGTTTTAGGATGTTTGCTTTGATGGACACTATTCAGGTTGTTCAAAACAGAAGTTTTTGCGCACTTAAGGTTTTTCAGACTAACTAGAACTGAATAAATGTAAAGGTTTTTAGATGCTCAGAAAAAATATCATTAGAAAGCTTAACTCATCATACAAACCAAGGTGCAACAAAGTACTCACAGTGAGATTTGAAAGTTGTTAATGGCATATAATAATACTCAGAAATTCTACTTCCCTCCCATTGCTAATTCTCCCACATATTGTCACCTCCAAAGAGTTTGTCACTTGGGTATTTTGCTATGAAATTGTAGTTTTTTTAAAGATTCCCTGAGCTGTTTTACTGACAGAAGAGCACAGCCTCTGGATTGTTATTTCTGTGGTGAAGTTGTGCTCAGCTGACACCGAGCACACTCCAACAGCTGCTGGACTGGGTGCCACAGAGCCCAGATCCAAGAGCAGCCCTTGCAAGCTCACAAAGAGCAGGGCAGGGATTGTTCTCTCAATTTCCAAAAGAAAATATGAACCGTGCAAATTGCCTGCAGTTGCTAAAGAGTCTGTGAGTGAGCCAAGTGCTGATTCCAGACCCTGCGCAGCCCCGTGCGACATTTCCGCCTCACAGCCCCTCTCCTTCAGGCAGCTCTTCAGCACTGACCCATCTGCAGGAGGTGTGGGGACCTGGCACACATGCTGCACGCTCCACTCCACGTGTGCTGCGTGAACCGTGAGACACACCGAGCCTCTGCGACCGGACACCGAGCCTCTGCGACCGGCCACAACAGGTAGCAGCAAACGGGGGCACAGTGCTTTACCCCCTCCTCACCCCCTTTCCAATCGAGACAGGCTTGGAGAGATTGTGAGAAATGATGTTTGTGGATCCCTACAAAAGGCCTAAATTTTTTTGTCTTGTGTTCAAAATGAAGTGGCTTCTTCTGGTGGCAGAAGAGTCGAAAAAAAATACCCAGATTTATCACGATTAGACTGTAGTTCCATTAGCCTGTCCAGTGTTTTCAGCTTGACAACAGACATTTCTCAAAACAAATGGAAGCAAATTTCAGCAGCCAGGAAGATGCACTGGTGCATCGTTAAGCTCTCTAAACAAAGTCACCAATCTTTGATGCTTACTTTAGCATCAGCTCAAGTGCTCAGTCCTGAGCTATATTTTAGGGAAAGTCCACTTTTACAGCTCAGCTCTGGAGATGGGATTGAGATATGTGATTTTAACTCTGATAAGCAGCCACTCCTCTGGAGCCATTTCTTGAGCTGTGACTCTAATCTGGGGAGTCTTCCCTAAAGGAATACTGTCAAGGATCAGTGTGAATATGTGAGTAATGGGCTCTGTAGCAAATGGTACCTGATCAGTGGCCAGGTATGTGTAATTCTGTTAGCTTGGGAGCTCCTCTCATCTACTGCAGAAGGTCTGTCATGTGGAAAGTTTGGGCCCACCAAGATTTTGACTGACTTTACCCTAGCCACAACAGAATGATGATTTTTGCATGGTTACTGCAGGTTGTTTTTTGCTGGATGAACAGCAGAACTACAGCCAGAAGAGAAGGGGACAAACCATACCAACCAGAGTGAAAAACAGTCAGCAAAAGGTTTGTGTTTCCCTTTACCTTTCATCACCTGCTCTGCTCAGTCACACAAAGCCCAGATGGCTCCAAATCCAGTTTGCAAATAAAAATGGTTGTCCTTGCTGGAGTGAAGTCTCTTTACCACAGAGGAGTGTGTTTGCAGCTGTCAAGGACTTCCTGCTTCCTACCTGGGTAGGAAGCAGACAAATCCTTGTATATGAGTTCAAGCACCTCTTGTTCAAGAGTCTCCGGCTTCCTCTGGATGACTGGTGTTCTGCTAACTGTGACTTTTTACAGAGACCTCACCTCCTCAGGCCCGAAGAAATGACATGAAAGCACCTTTTTGTATACTAAATTTAAGTTTTTCTAGGATGAGACAACCCTGGCTCCACTTGCTCCTTCCTCTTGCACGCTGTTCTTTATTTCTCTGTGACACTTTGCCTGCGAGCAGCAGTTGTCCTTTCAGCTCTACCTGTTTCTCTTTCCTTTAAATCCCCCCATGTGCCTTTGTTCTCCCTCAAGATTTCAGTCCCTTGTTACATGCAGTCTGACCCATTGGTCACAGTTCTGTACGTCCTTCTTGAGCCAACACCTTTGAAGAAGGATGGCTTTAACCAGTAAGAGTGGGGGCAGATTCTGGAGGTTTAGGTTCTGTTCCTTCCTCTGCTATGGATTTCCCATTTGACTTTGGACATGTAGCTACATCCCCAAGCCTTTATCATCTCCTAGGAAGGAGTCTGGGAGGTCATAATGCCAATTTCTCCCTGTTCTTATGAATTCTCCTAGTTTGGTTGATAGTTCCCAGCTATAGGAGCTTAAAACCTAATTAGACATGATCATTATCTCTTCTCATTTTTGTCTGTGCCACAGAAAGTCCCTGCTGGGTTCTCTCTAGGTTACTGTAATGCAAACAATAAGTTCTTACTTGAAATTAAAAGCATTTACTATAAACTGTTTTCTCCTTCAATAGCAACACAAAAGCTGCAACTTGGGCTGAACTCTGTTTTCTGCTTCATGTAAGATTTGTTCTATAGTTTTTCCCCAGGAAAACAGCTTTGATTAATATTTCAAGCATTTTATAACACTAAAAGCCAAACAGGATAGAAAAGCTGATTATGCAGAAATGAAAGCCAACTACAATCTAAAGGTCAGAAGGCAAATGTGCCTATGTCAAGCACTACATACCTTTTGGTTCTTGAACCTGGCAGCTGGAGGAAAATCAACATTGCACAAAAACCAATAATCCCTGCAACGAATCCTCTGTTTACTGGAAAATTCTTATGTAAGTGTTAACAGGTCAGGTGAAATCCTACATACTGTACACTTCTGCTTAGCACCATTCTATCAGGAATAAGGCAACATCAGTGGACCACAATGGGATTTTCTTCAATGTGAAGCACTTTTGCTTGGTCAGTGTAAATGGTTCCTACCAGACAAATGCCACAGGTATGATTATTTCTACAAACAACACTCAGTAAAGAGATGAGGAGTTCGACTGGACCCTGGAAATGATGCTTTTTTTTTCTTATGCTTTTAGGAAGACAGAATTCTGATTACTATAGGTGCATCTTTGACTGACCATCTGTAACTGTCTCCAAATTTTCTGATTCAGGATGATATATATGCAAATGAATACTGTTTATGTAAAGAGAAGCTTCTTACCTGTGTGCTTAAACCACTATGTACAAATGAACAGCAACCAACTTGCATTCTGCAAATAAAATAAAAACCCCCATGCACTGGCTAACCTTGTAGAGTTCAGGTATTTGCTCTAAATAGCACTAAGTAATTTTTTTATTTTGGGTGGAGCATAAATGTGCTCTGCCCAGAAGATCTTAAACAAAAGATGGGTATGAATGACAGATCAAGAGACTTTCAGTTTGTAGAGGCAGCTCTGAATGGAGTAATAACCATGATTCACAAAACTTGTCACCCTGGTATTCTCATCTGCTTTCTAGACACTGCCTCATCTTGATGTTTAGGATTACAAGGGCTATAAGATTGACTTTGTTTCTTCTTACAGGCACAGAAGAGATGTGCAACTGAGCCTGCTATACCATATTTCCATTCCCAGCTCCTGATGGAGAGGCCTGGGGCTATCTGGTTGTGGACTTTAAGTGATGGTTCAACATTGTAGCAGTGCAGAAAACTAAGATTCAAGGTATTTCTGCTGATAAATATCATGGACTACAGCACCTGCTTTTCAGTGAAGTGACATTAAGTTGTTAAATATTCCCCTAAATTTTCTTGATTTCTTTAGATTTTTGAATTAAGAAGATGATTTGGACTCCTCAGAAAGTTTAACCCCAAGAGAATTTGTTATCTGAGCTGGAAAAAAAGTGCACAGGAACCCACTGCTCTTCTGAACCCACCAACCACCTCCTTACTGCTGATTTTGCAAGGATTAACGTGTACTTGCTGCACATCCACGTGGAAGCAGAATTTGAACTCCTCTGGGTTTGTACATCTCACTCACAGATTTATTAGGACAATGATTTAATAGTCTCATTCTTTGGTGATCCTATTAACTTCCAAGTTTTGGTGTCTGTTCAGCTGTGCACGAAGAGCTGTTCTCAGAACTGTTTTCCTGATTAAAGATTAACAATGTGATAAAAGGAGGAAACATGGGCATCCTTGGAGTTTGTTTCTTACATCAGCTGGGTTAAACCTTTACTATCTTTTCTCACTGTGTATCTTCTCTCTGTGTTTGGCAATCAAATTCTGCACAGCTCCAGCACGTTTCCCCTGGTTTAGTCAAAACAAGAGGAAAACTTTCTGCCTTTTAAACTTTTAACTCTTCAACCCTTGCACAAACAGCAACAGAAACCTGTAATAACTAACTAAGGGGAGTTGTATTAAAAACTTTCTTTGCTATCTGTTGGATTAAAGAGTATTCTGGAAAAACAGTGGAAGTCACTGAGGTGTAGTTAACTGTATAACCGCACTAATGTCTTTTGAAATGGAAGAAGTGATATGCTTCCCAATAAACATCCTTCCTCCAAACAGATCCGGCACGCAGCTCTGCTGTTTGCCACACGCAGCAAATTTTATATTAGTGGATGGCAGGATTGTTTCTAAATATATCACAATGTTAGATGAAACAGTTAATAGACAAATTGCAATTATGGTTAATAATTTTTAGGCCACTTCCCTGACTTGTGTCTAAGCAATCAATCATCCCTGGTACTTTCAGCTCCAATAAACTTATGTTAAATACTTCCCTTTTTATATATCCCACATCTGTACTCTATTAGGTCTTGGTTTCTAGTCATGCTATATAATTATAATCATTTACAGAATAGAGGAGGATTTTAAGAGCATAGACAATACTTGAAAGCATTAAGTCTTTTAACTTAATAGGAGTTGCTTTTGTTCTGTTGCAAGAATCACTCATATTTAAAGGGATGATTTGTCTCCTCAAAGTCCAGATGAGCATTGGAGAGAGAGCAAAGCCTGGCTTTCCCTGTGCCTTAGGCACAACCCGAATTTAGCTGATCCTGCATGAGCAGCACAGTCCAAGCACTGTGCCCTGAGACAGCTCTGCAGCTCTGCTCACCCTCTTTGCATGAGAAGTGGTAATTTATAGCCTGCCTAGACACTAGTCAATCAATACCCTCCAGCATGATTTCCATCTGGCTTTGCTTTGCTGTGCTCCCATCTTCTCTCTGCTTCAGGGATTCAGCAAGGAAACAAGTAGGACTGTATGTTCTGATGTTCCTGGGTCTGAGGTCTGACTAGTTTTTATATGACTGTAGCAATAGGAAGCAGAGAATTGTGTTCTTTGGGGCAGGCAAAAAATCCAAGTCAGATCTGAATCCTTAGTGATGTCTGCTGAAATAAACTGTAGCTTCCATCTCCAAACCAAAGGTCTGGGGGAAAAAATAAAAAAATATTAATATCCTTCTTTCCAAGTGATCAAACTGTATATTTTCTCCTGAGAATATTCCAGGCCAGCACTGAAGCACTGACTTAATTCTGAATCTGCAAGATTCAGTTGCTGAGAACAGCATCAAAAAGAACATAACTTTTTTATCTCACTCATTAGCTGACGTGCTTTCCTTTTTTTTCCTTTTTTTTTTTTTTTATTTAATTAAGGTTTTTGGTGGTCTCTGAAGAAATGCTTCGTATTTGTGAAAGTGGGACACCAAAGGAACAAGCAGCACCAGAAAATACAGCAAAAAGACTTCAACCATTTAGTGACAGATTCAAGACCTGAGCAAGGTTTAAAGGAGCCAGATGAATTAGAAGATTGTAAAAGTATCTCCTTTTTTCTCGGAAGCAGGTGATGGTGTGAAGGAGGTTATCTGGTGCTGTCATTATTGAGAGGGGCAATATCTCACTGCAAAAGAGGTGCTGAAGGTAGTGTTTGTCCCTGGGGTAGAAGCAAAGGGAAGGCGTTGGTGTTTGCAGCCTGGTGCTAAGGCACACACACCGCTGACAGGTGCAGTGTGAACGCGACACATACTTGGAAACAAAAGTGAGACATTGGTGGAAAGTGAAAATGGAAAACTTTCCAGATGCCAGGTGGAAAATGATATTAAAGCTGTCAAAATAAGTCACAACAAAGACTGGGTTTTCTCTTAGACTAACAGGAGTCATGTTCTGGAGAAGAATGGAGGTTTCAGCTACAAGGCAGAGTGTCATAAATGAAACAATTATGAGCACTGGAGGTTAAGTTTGAACCTATTTGTTTTGGGGTTTTATGTTTTGGTCTCTTTATTTTTTCTCTTTCTCTTTGAAGTGCACTGCAGAGTTCCTGATTTATTCTACAGTTGGTGGACAGGTCAAAAATGTGTAAATAAATCCCACTGTCATTGCTTCACATAGTTATCTATTCTGGGCCTAATTCCAAGCCCTGTTAAATTGATGGCAATCCTTCCATTGGCATGGGAGGACTGCAGTTGAGAACCTGTGATGGTGGTGCAAAGTAACACCAGAGAGGATGGATAAACAGCTTCTGCAGTCATCCAAAGTGAGTCTCTGAAACACAGAAAGGGAAGCAAACCTTGAACTACATTCAAGGTCAAATATGCTTTATATATATGGGAATGGAGCTTTTAAAAGTGTCAGCTCCACCTAAATGCATTAAACATCTTAAATATTATAAAGGACATTATTCAGATTTAAGACTGACATTCCGAACAGATAACCCAGTATTTTACTTCTTGAAAAATATTAGCTGCACTGCTTATACTTGGGTGGAAAACCACAAATCAGAACAAAGTTTGCTGTGTTTCCTTAGTGTAGCCAAGGAAATTTACTCTGCTGATTAAGGATTTTACTTGTCCATGTATTCACTTTAATGAAGTGGTAGATTCTTATCAACAATTTATCTGTATCTTGTGGCTGAGTTTTGTTTCTTTATGTAACATTACTTTAGCACAGGAAAATGTGCCTACATTAAATTCCTTATGCTCCTTATGAAATACTCCTGACAAACAATAATTAATTTTGAACATTTACCCCCCAAAGTATAATTATGACTTAAAATATAAAACAGCTCTCTATTATTTTTGTGATGGACTTTTCATGCAGGTTGTTAGATGTGTTAGAAAGAACCAGACTCCCAGAAGAGTGGGTAGAAGCTAGATTGCAGCTAGAGATGGACAATGCAGCAGCAGTAACTGGAGACTCTACACACAACACACCATAATAGCCATTATGGAGCTGTTAACCTCTAGTGTGTCAAAACCTACTCAGAAATTGGTTGAATTCTTAGATTGCTGATCCAAGTGGTTCCTTTAAATTCAGCAAAAAATGAACTGAAGAGGCATTCCGCGTTTGAGCTATAAATCCTTGGAAATACTGGTTATTAATGGAAATAACGACAGACCTTTACCGTACCTGCATGGATGGTGCTGGTATTAATAATGCAGAAGTGCAAGGCAGGACAGCTATTAGAAGTTGATGACTGCTGAAGTGCAGAAAACCTCATTAAAATAACCTAAAGGATGGTGTATTACTGTAACAACTTTTTTTCCCTACAGTGCCCTTCAACAATCATAATTGCACAGTATACAGAGCAACTTGAAAAGATTTAGAAATGTGTAAGAAGTAAAATCTCTGGCCACAGTTACTGGCAGCCTAATTATGTGAATATATTGTATACTCTGCATCCTGTTCTTTAGTTTTGAGAGCCCGTGGATTCATGGATGATGAATAATGTGGTGTCTAACCAAGATATCAGCACTAAATTGCTGGAATAGATATTCAGCCTTAAATAATTGCTTTGGGTTTGTGTTGATTCCAAGCAGCAGAATAGTTATGACTAACTTGCAGTTGTTAAATGTAAACATGCTGTATTATTTTTGCATTTAAGATTTTACAGAATTGTAGATAGGAGTGGTTGTTGTCAAGGGTGTTTATGGGATTTTCAGTTGATGTCTCTGAGGATGAGGTCAAATAACCCCACCTCACCTTAGGGTACCGCTCAAAGGCCAGTGGGGTGGGCTGCTGTTTGTGCTATAGATATTTCAGAAATGCCTGGGTTACATCCCCAGGGAAGGAAAACCACCACTTAATTTGGGGTAAATCAGTTTAGCAGGATCTGGAACACACTGGGCTGCAGTCCCTGTGCAATGTGCTGTACTCTGCAATGCACCAAGCTAATATTTAGAAGTAAAGCTCTAAATCTATCCTCTGCACTGGCATATAATAGAGTATTCAGAGTAAGTGGGTTTTATAAAATGCTTGATGGCTGGAAATTACTAGTCTAGAAGGGTACACAAGATTAAATGTTAAGTCACTCAAACTGTGCAAGTTTACCTCAAAGACATTTTCACAATGCCTTTGGAGGAGTCGTTCAACTTGTTCTCACTGAATAACCAATCCAGGCCTAAGGTACAGTGTAAAGATGCTTAAACATCGCTCCACTGCCTCTGCAAAGCCACTTGAGCCAATTTTGTACAACACTTCTGTGGCGGCAGCATCAGGCGGCCCTTCAGCGGCACTCCAGCACAGGGCTCCCGGCTGGAGCCTTTCCGCCACAGAAACACGGCAAGTGCTTCAGATATTTCCCAAGTGGAGAAACCAATTGAGCTCAGCCCCGTGGTCTCCAGCCAAGTGGGAGCAGAAGGTTAAGGGCCTACAGTTAAGGACGAGATGTCTTCATCTCTGCTCAGAGGGTGAGGAAACGGCAGCTGCCCTGACAGGACTTGCCGTGCGTGGGGGCCAAGGAGCAGCGGGCACCCGGTGCATTGCGGGGGAAAGCTCCGCAGGTTCGGGGCTTTTGTGTTTTGTAGGGAATTAACACGTGAGAAGCAGCCGTTCCCCAAAAGCTGCTCCCCACGAGTGGGCTCCCACTGCGGCCGCTGCTGAGGGAGAGGCCGCTGCCGAGCTGCACGGCAGGCGCCGAGCCCCTTCCCCGCCGCCTCCCCTGCCACAGCCCGGCCACAATGGCCCAACAGCCCGGGGGACCCAGCGCCCCGCGGGGGCACCGCCCGCAGCGGGAGGGCCCTTGGGCCGCCGGAGCCCCGAGCCAGGAGCGCTGAGGGGGCTCGGGGCTGGTCCTGAACGCCCGTGGTTTGCGCTGGTGTGTGTCCCGGATCGGGCTGACTCGCTGTGTGTGACGGGGAGCAGGACGGGCAGGGAGCCCGCAGGGCCCGGGCCCGGCTGTGGGGCTGGGCCGGGCCCTGGGGCGCTGCGTGCCCCGGGCATGGCCCTGAGCCTGCGGGACGGCATCTGCGTGTTGTATGACTTGGAGCTGGAGCAGATTCGGCAAGAACAAGGGCAAGAAAAGAGCGCAGAAAGCGAGGAGACAGATAAACCACCAGACACGCTCCTGATGGAGGTACTAGTTCTGGATAAGGTGAAATTAGAGATACGTTGTTCCCTGTTAGCTTCTACCATCGCACCGATTTGGTTCTGACTTAAGCGTTAATATTATTTATTCAAATTTGTTGGACTTAAATATCCAGTCCCCTGTACATCTTTTTATAATTTCATCCATTTTTAAAAGACAAACTAGAAGTTTAGTCTTTCAAGATTCAGAGAATATTCTCAATTGGAAGAGACCCAGATTGTCAAGATGATATCGAGACGATATTTAACTGTTGAAATTCAGACAGGTTTTTAATTTAGTTCACCAGTTTGGTTCTATTTGGTTTGATAACCCCTATCTCTTATGTGGCATTACAGGATTTCCCTTTTTCTTCTTAATTCAATTAGTTCAATCTTGGAGTCATTGTTAAAGCTGGGTATTTAATGCAGTTCCATTTGAAATTAATTTTATTAATAAGAACATGCAAACACTCCAGTTTTGTTCTGTGCTAGCTATTATATTTGTTTTACAATAAAATCCTTTTTCTTAAAAAAATCATGCAGCACTAGATAATTTCTGAGGTAGGTCATATTGCCATATTTGTGTCTAGCTAATACAAGAAGTATCACAGCCTGGTTAATTGCTATATGACAAAGAAGACATTACAATTAACCTGCAGAAGTCCTATTTTGTTAAAAAACAGAGCATACTTCTCACTTTCTTTGAAAAGGTAAACATACTGAAATTTTCTTTAAAAAAAAATAAAGATACAAGTTTCTGTGTTCTCATTGCTGCAATTTAAAATGATGGTCTGAAATTTTATATAAAATTTTGAAGAGGGAGGGTGTAATAATTCTTACTGAATTGTAACTTACCAGTTAGGCTGCTGTATGCTAAATGCAAATTTTTGTTGCAGTTTTGTGCATCACATGATGATGACTTAAAGACTGAAAATCAGAATGAATTGGTGGCTTGCATTTTGTTGACTGCTTAGTTGATTTGCCAGTAGCGACTGCCTTTAATTGAGAAAGTTGTAAAAGATATTCTTTTTTAAAATAGATTGACAGAGATAATGATGCCATTACATTTGAAAATAACATCCAGCAACTGAGCCCATCTGAAGAGGGGGAAGGAGAGAAAGTTTTTCCCACTGTTGGGCAAACAAAGAGTCAGAGCTGCAAAGGGGGTGATGATTTGTCAGACTTATTCAATGAAAGTAAAGAGCAGGAATATCCAACTGCATCAGAACAAACAGTTGTAAGAAATCTCAAGAATCTAAAATTTGAGGCAAATGCTCCACATCAGGAGAAAGGTAAAAAGTTAGTAATATTTGTAGCTAATTTTTAGATAAGGCATGTTAAGCAACATTTTGAACTGAGGTTGAAGTTTCACATTAAATATTTACAGTGGTAATTACTAAGTTTAGATTAGGTTAAGTCTTAACATTCTGTGGAAATTTGGAAGAAGAAATAAAACCTTCAGCCTTAAGTGCTTGAAGATCTTCAGGCTGATGTCATCTGCCATGTTTTTGAGAGAGACATTTTGGATGGCATTTAGAAATTAATGGTCTTTTGAACAGTGTGTGGTATTTGAATCCTCCCGGGAGATTTCAAAGTTAATATTGTATAAGTGCCTTTGAATACACCTAGTAATTTATTTAGTGTCTCAGTTCACTCATTCAGCTTCAAAATGTGCTTGTTTGAGGGTTTATGGTTGAGTTTAGAGTGGTTCCACATTGCCAGCAGAAAGTGGTGGGCAGTTATCAACCAATACCTATCAGCAAAGCCTTTCCCAGAACCTAAATAAGAATAACAGAAAATGGCTGATTTAAGATGTTAGAAACATAAAAGTATGTTACAGAAGTTGACTGACTCAGAAGAGAACAGATAAGCATCTGTTTCCCTAGAAACTGTGTGTGTACTGTAAAAATTGGATGACATCAGTGATGTTGAGTCTGTAAATGTGTGTGTTGTATCTGGAAGTTAAGGTATCTTGGCTGAGGTTCTCTATGGTACAAATTGTTAATGTCCCCTGTTTCAGTTACAGCCTTTATAGGAAGCACATTTGAGCAGTTTTAACAAAGCTAACAATGTTCCTTTGTGTGGGCATGAATCCACAATGAATAAATGACAATAAAGTGGTTTTGTTTGCTGTTACTGAACTGAAGTGTTATCTGCACATCTCTGTGTGTTATAAAGCATTGTATAAAATGCATTTTGGTCTCAGCATGAAAATCATTACAGAGAGCACACTTGGGAGCTGAGGCAACTGTTCTGGAAAGACTCTTCAAATGTGACGTATTTGCCATTTCACAGTTTCAAATCTTCTTCATAACTGAAAGTGTTGCACATTTAATCTTGTTACTCTCAAAAGAAATTCATTACTCTTGTGCCCTGAATTTTATTCTATGACTTCTCCAAAGAACTTTTTTTTTCCTCTCAAATTCAACCAGTAATTTTAAAGAGGCTTTTACATCATGATTTTTTTATATGCACTTTACAGATTAAGGAGCACCAGAAAGCTGGGAATAGCTTAACCTGCCATTTTCAAATCTTTGCATAAACTTACTTAGTGCTAATTACACAGTTGTTGTCAAGAAGTTTGTTGCACAGGTTGTAAGTCTTAATGATGGTATTGAGAGAGGAAGTCTCATCCTGTTTTGGAGGTAAGAGCAAGAGCAGGAGTTAGGTTTCCTGGGATTAGATTCTAAACTGTACCACTAAGAAATAACACAATTTTGGGGGCAAATCACTTAAGTCTTAATGAATCCTTTGATGTAGAAGTTTGAAGCAGTTTTACCCAGACTAGAGGGACTCTTTAGAAATTGGTACCATTTTTAACAAAAGTAGTCATTATTTTGTGTTATATACAGTGTAAATATGTCTTTGTTTCAACAGGAGAAAAAGAATGTTTCAACTGTTTTTTCTGCACATTCACCTCAGTCAAGTTATCAAGTCTTAGGCGTCATTTGAAAACCCATTCAGATGAGAAACGTCACGTGTGTCACCTCTGCCCGAAGGCCTTCCATACAGCAACTCTGCTGCATAACCATGTGAACACACATACAGGTACCTAATGCTTGAAAACCCTTCATGGTACATACTGTCTTCAAAACTGAATTAACAGGCAAGTGCCTTTGCCTTTGAGCTGTGTTCTGTGATCATTTTATGCTCAGAAATTCCTCTGATTTTCTGTGCTGTTCCACACTGAAAAGACGTGGTCTGTAGTTAGGAGATTCTGTGTGTGTGTATTTGTTTATTTTGTTAAGTAGCATTCTTGTCAGCTCAACAGAGACTTCAGCTGTGCTTCATTCCTGCGTGAAGAATAGAATTTTCTGTGATGTTTTCATTTTGCTATATAAACATATGAAGCGAAGCAATAAGTTCTGTTTATAATAAACTTATTGTGTGCATATATACGGAAGAAATTCTTTACTGGGAGGGTGCTGAGACACTGGCACAGATTGCTCAGAGAAACTGTGGCTGCCCCATCCCTGGAAGTGTCCAAGGCCAGGCTGACCAGGGCTTGGAGCAACGTGGGATAGTGGAAGGTGTCTCTGCCCATGGCAGGGGGTGGAACAAAATGAGCTTTAAGGTCCCTTCCAACCCAAATCGCTCTATGATTTATTGTATGTAAAAAATCAGAATATCAGAAAAAGTTCTATTTAAAAATTCTGCATGTTGATTTAAGGCAGACAAATCATATTGCTGTGGTGTTGAATCAAAGTCTTGTGGTGTATTGTTGCAGGGAACAAACCCCATAAATGCAGTGAGTGTGACACAGCATTTGTGACCCGAGGGGAGCTTTCACGACACAGGAGGTACAAACACACTTTGGAGAAGCCTTTCAAGTGCACAGTATGTGAATACTCCAGTGTAGAAGTAAGTACAGCCTTACTGAATCTTTTGGGAAGGTGTGAAGTTTTTCACCTGCCAAGATTTTAGTGTACAGACAATTTTTGCCCAGATTTTTAACCATGAGAATCCAGGTTCTGCTGATGGCCTCGGACACACTGATGGATTGTGTTAATCTCTTATGTTGCTGCAGTGTTATTGCAAGGTGGCTGATGGCTACAACTTCCTGGTGACATGCATTTCATTTAATTTCAATTCATTGCACTCATCTTTTCATCCCCATCATCCTGCAAAGAAGGAACAAGTAACCTGAATTCCTGGAACCCTTACTTTGTCCATGAAGTATTTGCTAATGTGTTGCTCCAAATTAATATTCATAAAATTATTTAGGGGTTTTTGAACTAATTGCATTTTAAGAGCTTTTTTCCCTTTTGTTATGCTAAAATTGCTGCTTGACAATGTGTTTGTGTGCTTTTGGTCCTGCAGAAGCATTCTTGGTTGTCATGTACACGACATTCCATGTACTGTAGGGCAAGACTAGCTAATGTCTAAAAAGAAGTTCATGTATTATGTTTATATACTTGATGGTGTTTGGTTTTTTTTTCCAGGACTAGAATTTTTTTCATCAAGAACAAAATACCTTAGAGTCTGCTTAAGGGTGCATTTGGAAATGGCAATTGAATTGGGTGCACAGGCTTTCAGAAATGCATCTGTGATTGAATCACTGTCACAATTTAGTGGATATTCAATATCTGAATTTGTGCTGTGTCCAGATCTAAAGCTGTAAGCAATCCTGAACTTTATTCCACGCACCTTATCTTAATAATTAGACTTTGGATAGCTTGCATCTTTAAAAACCCTGACTGCTGATGTTAAATTACCCTATTCTTTCCCTTGTTTCAGTAAGGGGCTATTCAGCATTCACTGCTTTTACAGAACTCTCATTCCTGTAAGCTTTACCTGAATGAAGAAACCTGAAGGAGCTCTCCAGTACTGCCATGCAAATTATTTGACTTTTGTGTAGCAAAGGTTGGCAGTCATGTTTAATTTTATTTAAGTGAATAGTGGTGTAGATTTGAAGGAATCTAGCAGTGAATTCATTAATTGTGTTTATAAATGGAGGAACTGAACATATGATAACTCCTACTCACGTACCTACAATATTTATGTAGAGCATATCAGAAAAACAGCATTAAAAAAAAATATAATTGAATTAACTTTGTAACTAAGGTGCTTCATTGGGACTTGAAGGTGGATAGTCTCTGGATAATGGGTTTGGTCTTTAATTTATTTTCTTGAGTGTTTTCAAAGAATTTTTTGTTTGGTACATCCAAGTAGCATGACAGTAGTAGGTATCCTCTTTTTAAAATTTTATCTTTCTTGTTCTTATTATAAAATTTCCCATTTTTCTAATGTGGACACTAAATATGGAAGTAAGATAATATGGGGAAATAGTGCAGAAGTGTCCCAAAACCACAACAGGCTGATTATGCAGGGAAAAACATGGATGTGAGAGTGCTAATTCAGGGATTAATGCAATGTTTTAAATTGCAGTAGGTGTATTGTGTAAAATTGCTTACATTTTAATTAAATATATCTCTAATGTAGATGTTACTGTTGAAAATCTCTCATTTTTATCTGAGGCCAGCAAGATGAGACGCCACGTTCGCTCGCACACGGGAGAGCGGCCCTACCCCTGTCACCTGTGCAGCTATGCAAGCAAAGATACCTACAAACTGAAAAGGCACATGTTAACTCACACAGGTAGAATTCTGGGATAATGATCAACTCCAGGGCCTCAGCTCCTCAGTATTCATAGGGTTAGAGCGATCTCATTTCAAACTCAAGGTCAGCCCTTTTTTTATTTATGATTTGGAGTAAAAACATGTTCTCTTTCAGTGTTCTGGATTTGGAAGTTGGAAGCCCGGCAGTGCTAGAAGTTAGTCTTGCTCTTCATCCTAAACTTCTTTTCTATTAGAAAAGTATTTCCTTTTCTGTGGGTCAGGTTGTCACTTTTATTACTCAATTAGTTGATTTTACATGGAGAGGTATCTATGAGAGATTTTTAAATATCTGTTCAGAACATGGATATTGTTATGACCCCAGATTGCCAGCAACTAATTTGGTCAAAATTGGTTTAATTTTGAAAGCAGTGTGTTCTTGTCATAGCTCTGTAACATGCAAGTCATCTCAGGGGCAGTGGGTATCAATCCTATATTTCAGGGTTTAACTTGGCTCAATTATGGTATGTAATTTGTGCTCTGATTAATGTTCTAAGTTGAATCAGAGTGTGACAGCGTGGTTTGAATCAAATTTTCCAAATATCCCCACTTGTCACACATTGGTTCATATCTTGAGACAGTTTGGTGCAATTAAACTGAATTATTTTTTTCTGGAAGAGTTCAAGAGTGTTACTCACTACTGGCAGGGACTTCTTCCACAGAACCAGCCTGGAGTTGTTTCAAAGCTGTGCCAGTTGCCAGTGTTGATGTAATTTTTAATGATAGTCACACCTGATGTGGCTTTTTGGGGAAGAAAAGCAAAAAAACAATTTCCTAATTTCCCTTCCCACCATTATCAATGTCTGGTGGTGTGTCACTCTTACCACAATTTTTTGCTGTTGTTGACTTTCTCTCCTTGCATATTTGAAGATAATTCTGCATTTTTGTACATGAAGCATTCAAGGAAGAATAGATGATAATTAAAATAATTCCTGATTCCTAGTTTAGGATTATATTCATGGATTTATGCTTCAGCAGTTTGACTTGTGGACTCAGGAAAGCCAAGATTTTGTATTGCAATCAGTTATGTAAACTTCTGGAGACTTGTTTGGCCTTTTGTGCACTGTCAACTAATATTAGCTTCTGGTTGATCTGGAAACTGTTGCTGTTAGAACATGGATGTTGAATTCTGTGGAAATTGGAATTTATATCAAATAAGTAGAGTTTCTAACCATATGTTACTTTAATTTCTTTTTAATAGGTGAAAAACACTATGAATGTTATGTTTGCCAAACCAGATTCACTCAAAGTGGTACCATGAAAATCCATATGTTACAGAAGCATGGAGAAAATGTGCCAAAACACCAATGTCCACATTGTAGTACTTTCCTTTCCCGAAAAAGTGATTTGGGTGAGTTTAGAGGAAAACACTGGAAATGAAATGTAAAGCTAAGTAGAGGTAAAATCTCTAATTTTCACCAAATTTCACCAAATATGTTATAGCTGACTTCATATTATCACACAATATTTTAAGTAAAATGTATTTGTAGTTTTCCAGGTAAGTTCCTCCTTCAAAGAGATGTGGTGACATCTTGTGGTTGATGTTTTAATTTGTTTAAAATGCAAAGTAGCAAATACTTAGCTTATTCTTTTTTTTATTTGCTAGATACCTGTGGCACTGTGGTCTTCTGTTTTTTCAGGAGTGTTGGCAACAGTAGAGCTGACCAGTAACAACAAAACTGATACAGAATTTTAAATTTTCAGAAATACATGAAAATGCTGTATTAAAACTGTTTTTTTTGGGAAGGATTTGATTTGTTAAACGATTTCTACTGAAATCAGTAACATGCAGACTTAGAACTGCTTGATTTCTTTGGGAAGTTACAACATCTTGCTGCAGCTTTTGTTTAACCTTTTGTTTGTCTATTTTACTCCTACTGCAGAGAGCACGGAAGGTTCTTTTGTGTTTTCCTCTACCAGATTTGCTTTACTCAGGGCTATACACAGCCCAACTCTTGTTCAAAACTGTGAAAATAAAAACCTTGCCATTAAAATGGGTTGTTTTCAATAACTGTCCAGGTGTCCACCTGAGGAATCTGCATTCCTACATGGAAGAGGCAGTGAAGTGCAGGGACTGTGAGGCAGCTTTCCACGAGCGCTACGCTTTCCTTCAGCACAGGAAGACTCACAGGAATGAGAAAAGATTCAGATGTGCTCAGTGCAGCTGCACATGTAACCAGGTATTTCAGTTCCCTGGGAAAACACTGCTTGCTCTGCTGGTGGTGGCGTAAGGCACGCTTGGCTTTGGGGTTCTATTTCCCTTAAGAAAACAAAATCTTTTGTGACTGCAGTCCAACTAAAATAGTGTAGTGGTGCTTATTTCCAGGGTAAATCCCTCACAAATGAACAGTGAAATTGAAATGCTGGAAAGATGAGTCTATCTTCTTGGAAAATCTTTTGTACACGACTGCTTAGAAGTATGAAGTAAGAGCAATCACTTTCAGGGATGTTGTGATAAAGAACAAAATGTAGTATTTGAGCCTGAAATGTGATTTTCAGTGGTGATGCAGAATAAATTCAGTGTGAACTGAAACATTTATTTTAAAGAGTACTTTTAGGATAGCTAGGACCAGTTCAGCAAGGAAAGTAAGAAATTATTACTCACTTGTAACCATATGCAGTGAGAACATGTGCTCATTTTGGGTTAACTGTGCACACTTTAAAATAAATGTGACCCTTTTTCCACATACAGATTTTACATGTAAAACTTTATTGCTTATCCAGGAACCAGAAAATGATAAATTTTATTTTATGCCCACCAAATGGCAATGTTCTTTTAAAGCAGAATTTTAATATATATTCTGGAAAATCTTCAGGAGTTTTATGGAGGTTGTTAACTAAGTCAGTCTTCTGCTCAGTGTTCCAGAATTTGTCTGTCAGAACCATATTTGCTTTGTGTGTGTTAAATTGCTTACATAGATTAATATTTGATTGATATATTTGTTCTTCATTATGCTAACAGAGTAATATGTGTAAGCATGCTGAAAATTGTGGATTGGTGAGGGCAAAAACTGCTACATCCAGAAAAGGAAGCAAAGGCAAAAATAAAATCCATGAGCACCCGAAGCGTGCTAACCCAGAAGGTAATCAGTGACTAAGTTAGAATTTAATCATGTAAATTAGAATCAAGACTAAAAGGCTAAGGCAGTGAATCTTCCCTGCTGCTTAATTACTGTTTCACAGTGAAGCTAATAATGGAAGAATACTTCAGAATAGGCTTTTCAGTGTGTCACAGATTCTTGTCATGTGAGTTGGGTCAGTGCACAGGTACCATCCTGAGCTGTTCCCTGCTCCTGCAGTTGAGTTCCTAAACTCCCTTTTTAGCAATGCTTTCAGATGATTTTTGTGGAGTAAAAGAATGGGGAGATACACCTTAAGCCTAGATGTCCCTAAACCTCGCCTTTTGGTATATCAGATTATAGCTGAACTGAGAAAACTAGATGTAGTGAGAAGAAGAACTGTTGGAGCTTTTCTGAATCTAATGAATATATATCAGCAGCTGAGTTTACATTAGCATTGACACTTCTGTTTTCACTGGTGAGGCTGTAATGGTATGGTTAGAGAGAAATGTTACAGCTGCAGTGTTTATGTTTTTGCAGTAATTAGATTTTGCTGTTTATTAATATTTTCCTACATGCAAACAATTTCTTTTTGGTATCTTGTAAATACCTTCATCTGAAAGCTTGGTTTTCTAGAGCTGTGATAATGTATCTTCAGATGTTGTTCATGCAAATATTCAGTTCATTAATTGACTTACACAAAGCCTAGAAACTTCTGTGCTGTTCCAGAAGGTTTTTTCCCCAAAAATTGACATTTGCAAGTATTTATATATCACTGTCCACTTCTTGCACAACTTGAAGGGGCCTGTGGGACCCTCAGTGTGGCTTTGCAGATGACTTGTGAGGCTGGGGCTGTCAGTGATTTGCTGTTACTAATAATTAAAAAAGAAAAGGGATGCATATGATAATTAAATTTACAGTTAAAAAATGCTTAGTTTTCCTCTGATGAGAATACCAAACTCAGTAACGTGGCTTGTAATGTAATATTCAACAGAAGATATATTCATTCCCCAAGTAAAGTGTAAGAGAAAAGAGTGCCTGTAGTTACATATTGGCAGCATTTTCTCTCCTAAATTAAACTGCATGCTTGTTAAATTTATTAAAATATTTACTTGTCTGGTTAATTATCCCAATATTTAATTATTTTTTTTTTCAAAGTTGCCCTGATATCATTCCAGGATGACTCTAGTGTGGAAAATGAACATTGTGCCAGTGAGATTGTTCCTGTTTTAGATGGGGCAGAAACAGCAACTCCTGGGGAGCACAGAACAGAAGCAACTTATTAAATGGATCCTCAAAGTGATGAACAATTACTGCATAAAGAGACTAGTCTTCCTTGTTCTCAGTAGCTGTAACTGAGCAGTTCAAAATGTGGAACTACCTCCAGCTGGAAAGGTAGAAAAGATGAAGTTGGAAGCTATTGAAGCCGGCCTAAATACCATTGCAAAGTGTGGAAATTAGAGGCAACTTTCACCTGGTTTATTACATACCTGTAATAACAGAATGGGGAAAACCAGCTGATTTCAAAATCATTTATTGAAGAATGGATGCGTTGTTTCACCTTGCATTCGTTTTTTCCCAGTTTTACTCACAGAATTGCAGACTGATCTGAGGCAAATTTCTCTCTCAGTATCACTGAGAGCTGCCTGAATTTCAGTGTTTATACTTTGCTGAGGTGAGCACATGAAAGGCAATGATTTTTTTGGTACATTTACTAAATCTCCTTTCTGCAAACACTTTAGTTTCTAGTGGAATTCATGATGCAATAGAATGCATGATGCAATTTTGTTGAAAAGCACCATCTCATACTGCTGATAATTAAAAACTCATCTTTTGTCTGAGTTTTTCTCAGCTCATTTGGCTGGGCAGACAGAACTGCATGGCAAAAATGAAGCAGGAACGGGTGGCAGAGAAGTGTGGAGGACCCCCACATTCTGGGAATGTGAAACCTTCTGTGTCCTTAAGCTGACGCTGGGATCTGTTTTCTTTGTCCCTCTAACCAGCCTTGCAAGTGTTCCCATGTAAGTTTGTGATCCTCCTTTTAGCACCAGATCCAAGCCACACCCACGACTTTGATTCTATTAGCTCTTCAATGAAGCACAATTGTGTTATTTAGGAAAGTTCATGTTTATGGAATACTTAAAAATCAGAAAAACATTTAACTGTCAAATACAATTCTCTAACTTTCCTTAGGTTATAAGACCTACTGGGTTTAACTCTTAATAATTACTAGAGTCATTACAGTAAGTACTATTAATTTTCATGATTCGTTACAATGATCACAATTGCCATTTATGCACTGTTCACACTTTTTTTTTGTCATTTATAATTAATACTTGGAAGCCTCCTCATAAAATCTTAAATACTTTTTAAATATTCATCTTTAATGCTGTTATTCTTATGTTACATTCCATTATAAATAAGCACCAGCATAACTAAATATTATTAGGTCATGAAACAACTAAATTTAATTGAAATGCCAAACCCTCATCCCAATTTCAAGATTAACATCTATGTTTAACTTCATTATGGTGTGGAATTTGACCAGTATTAAATGGTTTGGGTTTGCACGTTGGGCAGGCTGTGGTTGCTGGTTCTGCTGCTGTGGTCAGGGACAGAGAATTCCTGTGCTGTGCTGAGCTGCATGCTCACAGCAACTGCAGCTTCTAACTTTTTTTACTTTGAACGGCCTGTTAAAAATGAAACTTTAAGTTTTTGCCAGTTAGTTTATGAACATCTTTATCCTGTTCATGGTAAAGTGTCTAAATGCCTGTTCTAGGATAACTTCTTTAATTCAGCAGCTGTTCTGTGACCCAAAGCAGTGCCAGGAGCTTTAAGAGCCACAGTGTCCCCAGGATCTCTGTGCTCGGGTGAGCAGATAAGGGAGGATGTTGGCATTAGCAGGAGATAATTGCAGTCTTACAGTAAATAATCCCATTTAGAGAGACCTCACCAAAAGCCTCACCTAGACCTTCCTCAATCATCTCTGTCAAACACGGGAATTACCACTTTGGTAACAAAAGCCTCCTTCAGTTTTGTAGCAAACCCTGAGAAATCAGAGGGCTTGGATTCATTGAAATTCTTCATTGGTGTTGTCCCTCCATTACAGAGCTGTTACTTCACTGTTTACACAGTTTCATACTGATTGCTCTGTGCCTTTTTTCATGCTGGTGAAATTTCAGTAACTTCATTTGTTCTTACCAGTGACAGGACTTAAGAATACTTTTGTTCATGATAATTGCTTAAATGATATTGTTAACTTTATTCTTGTTGTGCTTTCTCCATTTGTGTTATAAACTCTAAGCAGCAGATTTCTTTGTGAAAATTAATTTTAGAAGTTGTTTAAATTCTTTGATCAATTTGCTGAATATATATTGTTCATTTGAATTGTTAATAACAAAGCTGATTCATTCTGTGCTGACATCTAAAAATCAGACTACAGAGAGTGGAATGTGAATGTAGTAATAAAAGATATTTTTATCTCTGAACTTTCAAATTATTATTTCTGTAGCTAGAAGCTATAAATGTGTCATTTTGGAAATCAAGAAAGAATGCTTTGACCTCCTCAGGAACCATTCCTAATGGCCTTATGCTTTTTAACAGCAGTGATTGTTCTTCATGATTGAGAATTTGCATAACTATGCAAATATTTGCATCACTATTCTGATTTCTATTTTACGAAGATAACTTAATTTCATTACATTACCTATTTTAGACCAGTAGATATGTATTAATATCTTTTAAAGCAGTAGCTATTCTGAACAGATGCCAGATGTAAAATATTTTAATTTACTAATTGTGGAGGAGTTGTTAAATACACAGGAATTATTCATGTCTGAAGCAGATAATACTGGAGTGTTCTGTAGCATTATGTAACAGTGTTCTGAGGTAATCCAGTTATTTGGGAAAAAAGAGGGAACTTGCATTCCGAGTTTCCTCTGCCAGCTTGAAATTGTCTATGCTTTAAATAGTTAATGTGTGAGGAAATAAAGTTTTGCACAGACCCAGCAGATAAAAAGCAAAGAAAGAGTAGAACCAGGCCTTTGGATACGTTTTTTTACTATGTAGGCTCTGTAGTAAAACAGACTTGACACTGGAGTCGCTTCAGTGATGCAAAGCCACATTGTGACATTGTGCAGTGATGTGATGTGTCAATTGGAATCAATTGCATTCTAAAATTTGGAAGAATTGACCTCAAAAGGATCCTGGGCTCTGCCAAGGGCATGAGGAGAGCCGAGACTGGAGGGTGGCTCTGGTGTTCCTGCAGAGCTCCTGCGGGAGTTCAGGGGCACTGCTGGGCCGGGAGCGCTCATTCCTGGCCCTGCTCATTCCCGGTGCTGGGAGCGCTCATTCCTGGCCCTGCTCATTCCCGGTGCTGGGAGCGCTCATTCCCGGTGCCCGGAGCGCTCATTCCCGGTGTCCGGGAGCGCTCATTCCCGGTGCCCGGAGCGCTCATTCCCGGTGCCGGGAGCGCTCATTCCTGGCCCTGCTCATTCCCGGTGCCCGGAGCGCTCATTCCCGGTGCTGGGAGCGCTCATTCCCGGTGCTGGGAGCGCTCATTCCCGGTTCCCGGAGCGCTCATTCCCGGCGCTTCCCGCAGGTGGCAGCGCGGGGCCGCGGCCGTGGGAGCTCAATGGGAGCCGCTCCGAGGTGCTGGAATTGCTGCCTCAGTTTCCCTCCCGTCGCTCCATGGCTTTGGCCATGTCCAGGCGATATACAAAGAGTTCTTTGGTTCCCTTAGCAGGTTCCTATGTGCTAATGTCACCCCAGCCAGGAGAGAGGATGGGGAGCGCGCTGCTGCCTCGTCTTCTGCTGAAGCTTCTTCTTCTGATGGGATGGGGCTGCCTTGTGCCTGGAATGGGAATTTTCTCCCGGTGGGGCTGGCAGAGGCTCAGCTGCTCCCTCCACCTTCATGGACTGCGAGACCTCTGCAGCCCTGCTCGTGCCTTTGCTGTGTTGGTGTTTTCCCTTTGGCTGAGTTGGCTCCATGGAAGGTCAGGTCCGTGGCAGCAGTGCAAGGCAGGTGCAGGGAGCCTGCAGCGGGGCACATTGATATGTTTTCTCTTGATAAATTTTTTTAACATATCAAGAAAGCTACTGTTGATAATTTAAGCAGCTTATCTAAGAAATCTTTACTTAAAGAGATGTTAGGGCTTTTAACAAGCAACAGGTTTGTTAGGTAAATTTTAAAAAGTTCTTTAATGTGAAGTGAAGTGGGCACACAGGCCATGAGGAGTGACCTGGCCCTTTGATAAAGGAGGAGCTTGACAAATCCAGTAGATTTCTTTTATACATTCTTCAAGTTAAGTGTTGGCACAACAATGTGGAAATGGTGCACAGTCAGTATCACAAGGACTGGGACTTCTCTTGCTGTGGTGTAACATTTTATAATGAGATGGTCTTTACTCACTGTCTGAGCATTATTCTTGTACAGTATACAAGGAAATGGTGGATTTCCAGCTGATTTCCATTTTTGTGACTGTTCCAAGAAATTTTCTTGAATTGTCATCTTAACATTCCTGCCATCCTCTCCTTTGTATCCAAACTAGTCTCTTCCTTGTCTTTCAAATCTTTTTGCTGACTGCTGAGTCTGGATCAAGGAAACATGTCTGCTGTCTGTCGTCACATTCCTGGAGATCTTTGCCATGATTACTTTTTTGCTAGTTACACGAATTCGGTTATTTAACAATCTCACAACTATACTGCAAAGATAACTGACAAAAAATTAACAGATGGGTGTGTAATTACTGTTGTGAGGAAGCCTCTCTGTCTCTCAGCCATAGCTGTGTTGTCTCCATTGTACAGATGAGAAAGATGACACACAGAACAAAATGAATCTGTGGTTTAATCCTCTTGCTTTCAGGAGCAATGAAACCCACTGATGGTACAGCGTGCTCTGCTTATTACTACTTCAGTCTCACTGAACCAGAAATAGAAACCTGGGGTGCTGCAGCATGTGATGATTAAGTTACATTAGCAGAAGGTGGTGAGCAAATAGGCAAGGACCTAAAGACATAAAGCTAGTGCTGTTAATCACTTCCAGAGACATTAAAATCAGAATATTAAAGCTGGAGTAACATGTTATAACTACTTAAAGGTCAGTGCTTAAGCTGATAGGAAGGCACTGTGGCAGCATGGCTAACAGCAGTGGTGTGCAGCATCGTGGAAGGAGCAAACACAGTTTCCTCTGGTGGTGATTGGAAGGTCCAAAAAGGAGACACAGACTCCGTAGTCTTAAGGCCTTTCTAAAGTAGGAAAAG